TTCGTCGTCGGAAATATGATTCAAATTGTCTGCCCTTTTCTTTTTTCGTAACTGCAATCCTTCGCTTGTGCGATGTGAGAAAACCTGTTTAGCCGGTACTCTATACTGCGTGATATTTGTACTCGTCAATGGCGTTATTTGTACTCTGCGAAGTATAGTTAGATAATAATTAACAACACACAACAAAGAAGCACGCGGTATGCTAGCTATAATTCTATCTGTCCTTATGATAGGCGTGACTGATGGAGGCTGTTCTTTTGCAGTGTCAGCAACAAGACTTTGGAATAATGTGCCTCTAAATATCAGAAAATCAGACTCCTTTAAGTCCTTAAAAACTCATTTATTTAAAACTATCTTCGCAACGCAGCAACATTTAGACCATTTTAGGATTTAACTTTGATATCTATTTATATCTATATTTTACGGAAGTTTTTCATATCATTGTAATTCACTATCCGAGTCTCTCATATATTTAGGTTTTAACTTTTATTATACTATATTTGTATTCCTAGTTTGTGATTTTGTTTTCCGAGGGCCACAAGTCTATTGGCCTTTGGCTATTTACCAACTATTCACCGAAGTGGAGGTGGCGAGTGGTGGATATTTACCGAGCCGCTAAGCGGCGAGGTAAATATCCGCTGCTAATCACCAACACTGAAGTGAATAGTTGTTTTAGTATATACAAAAACAGTGAGATGATATACGCCACCAAAAATTGATTTTAATTCATGCATTCCAACATTTTCCCTCGCGGAAAGGACTGAAGCAACAAGTGAGGTTGAGCAAGATTAATTTGCATTTGTAAACATAACCCTTCTTATTCGGGTTAAAAACTTAAACCATTACCTTTAAACACGGCCAAACCAAATTTAGTCGCTTTCTCTGTGTTTTCAGGGACTGCTTCGTCGTTAATTTGAGTGATTTCTTCGCTTGTCACGGATGCAAACCGGGACGCTATTTTTCCCGAGTTGCTCGGAGGTAACTTCCCGTAACAAAGGATATTCGGAGTTTGGCAAGCCAATCAGAGCGCACCTTCAACGATATCCACTGTTTTAGTATATACTAATAAGTGTTAACCCTCTTTCAGTTAAATAAAGTCTTTATTTTTATTATATTTACATAAGTTCAAAAATGAAGATTTCACGATCGTTCATGTTATCTAGCAACAGTCAAATTTAAATAATGTTTATTTTTTAATGTACATACATACATACATACATACATACATATACTTTATTTCAACTTGAATTTTCAGAGTAGCTCTGTTGAGCTAATATCTTCGAAAAAAATGTAACGTTGTCGAGTGCTTACAGTTCGCGAATGGGGATTATATCCATTGTATGGGGTACAGATTTCAGAACCCGAGTATTATATGATCGTACTGTCATAGAAATGAAAGTATTGACATACCTCTTTTTTATATCAAAAAGGAGACTGAATTGTTCTTTTTCCAGATTTAGGCCTGGGTCGCATTAGGAGTCTTTTTTGTTTGTTTGAATAAAAATCTGTCAACAGGTAGCATAAAATAAGTGTGACATCAAATATTTGGAAAACATGCCAAATTTTTGCAAATCGCCAGATTTCCCCAATCTTCTAAGAATAAGATGACCTGCCT